AGGATGCTAGCAAGTGTAAATTTCTATATGTTCATTAAATTCTACTGCTGATTGTAATGTACAATTATGCATCCCTGCTATGCTTTATGCCTTATTGCAGTTAACTTATTCCTTTGCCACAGAACAAGTAAATATGAAATTTGTGTGTACATAAAGTAATTTACTAAATGATAAGTATACATAAAAATACTGCAGGTAATTTCTTTCTTCTGAAACCTCATTGGGAACTAGACAGAGACACAGCCTTTTTTCAGGGTCCTATAAAGCTAGACTACATCTTAGGCTAAATCACTAAAATAAAGAATTCTTGATTTGGGGTAAAGGGCATCTTAGTGATACATTTCGATGCATTTATGTATTTTATTGTAATTATTTGTGTGGTGTTGATACAAATATACTAAATTTACTGTTATAGAAGATATTGTGGAGACCAAGCTCAAACTAAGTAATTGTAATAATTTGTCACCTATTAAACTGAAGACACTAATGCATTTGTGTTACCCAAAAGCTTTACTACCATTATTTACTTTTCTGATACATATTGGAAGGAATGGAAATTGTCCTGGGTCACGTTATTCTGATTTCTTTCCAAACTCATTTTCCCATCAAGTGCTTCTCTGTCTCGAGGGATGACAAATCTCTTCAGATTTCAACTTGTGGAAGCAAGACCTAAATTTAGCTTCCTGAACATGACTGCCCCTGCAGACTATTTAGTATAACTTCCCTTCAACACTTTCCTTAAAACCTGAACCTTAGTGGCTACATTATTATTAAAAATTGGATAATTAACCTCCCAAAGGGATTTGTATTTAATTGAAGTTGACTTCTTACATCACGGAACAAAACGAATTAGGTGGAATTTCAGACATCAGACACAAGCAGGTGAGAAAAGAAATCTGTGTCTAATAACATCCCTGGTGCCACAGTGCCTCTAAATGTAATACAATGTAGGCAATTGTCTATTTATAAACTCCTTCCTTTGTAAAATAGCCGTATGGCCCTGAGTCACGGGCCATTATGAGTAAGTTCAGTGCATAATTGTACCAAGGAAAACTAGGTTCACTAAGTCTCCTTGTTGCTGAAAACAGTAATAGGAGTGCTCACGGATTAAATGAGTCATCTTTGCTTTTTTAATACCAAAAGGGATAATTATTCACTGAAATATTCTACGAAAGTTGCACCATTTATTTTACAAAAATATACTGGATTTTCTTGTGCATAAAGCATTTCTAGTGATAAAAATTTGTAATAATAAAATTCTGAAGTTTCTTATAATCTAATGGTGAATACACTTTGCTTTTGCAAAACCTTTTTGATATGAAAAAGAAAAGAAAAAGAAAGTTTCTCTGTATACGAATACAGATAAGTACACAAATAGATAACTTTTCAAAAAATATCCTTGTAATCAGAACTCAGACCAAGAAATAGAGCATTACCAGTATCAACAAAGCCTTCTATATGCTCCCTCCTAAATGTCTAATCTTTTACCTCCACTTTTGTGAGTTTTATTATGATAGAGTAACTTCATACTTTTTGAACCCACATAAATTTATGTCTACAGTATGCTCTGTGTCATTCAATAATATGTTTGTGCCATCCATCCATGCTGTTACATTCAACTGCAATACATTCATTTTCATTGTTGTATAGTATTCTTTGTATAAATATATCATTATTTATCTACTTTAATGTTGATAGGCAGTTGAGTTGTTTTCCCTTTATCTGTTACAAATAGTCTTAAATGGACATTCTGGTAAATGTCTTTTGACAGAGATACACGCTCATTTATCTTGCGTGTAAAACAAGGAGTTGAAAATGTGTGGGCACACGTGTGTATAAAATTTATATTCAGTAAATATCATCATATAGTTTTCTATGACATTTGCCAATCCACACTTCCACTATCACACTTTCAGTGGGTGAGTCGTCTGGCTGTTCCACATCCTCACCAATATTTAATCTTGTCTGTCATTTTAATTTTTGCCATTATGCAAAGTATGTGATTTCCCTGATGACTAATAAAGTTGGATATCTACTTTTATGAAGTGTCTCAAAGTCAAAATGTAGAACATAAGGTAAGATAAATGGGTTCAGCTCAATGGTATTGAGGGTCCTGAAACCTGTGCTATCTGTCATCATTTCCAGTTCCATTTTAGATCAAATTGGCCTGGAGATGTAGTGTAGTCTTTTGGTGTAAATACGTTCCTACCCATCTGTCATTCTCTTTTAATCTCCTCAAATATAGAATTAGGTTTGTGCATTACTCATTGGTAGAATCAAATCAATATAGACACAGAATGTGGTAACTAGAATGCACAATAAAGATTATCCAGTTCAAACGCCTCTTTTGATGGAGTGGAAACTGAGGCCTTAGGAGGACAAGTGACGTGTTGAAGGTCACAGTTATTGTGAGTTGAGAGTAGATTCAGACCCAATTTTGTTGTCATTGTTTCTCCAGTTCATAGCATGTTTCTAGAGAGGATATCAACCTGGCTTAAATTTTCTGCCTCTAAAGAAAGAGCCACACACTTATCAAAGTAGTGAGAATTAGTATTGATTGTTTTTACTTACTTTGTTAACCACCTTTTGCCAGTGTGCAGTTAATTTCTTGTATCATTATACATATACCCAAATCTGTCATCACTAGTTGTGCTTATGTTTAAGAATGCCAGTGCCAGGGCAGAAATAAGGAACTATGATGAAGGAATTGACCTGTAATATTGACCCATTACACAGAGATTGATAATGTCTTACTTGGACAATAATATTTGCCACCAATTAGTGATGGGCATACTATGACAAACATAAGAGTTAGAGAAATTGAGAGAGAAGGAAATGGTTAGGATTGAATTAGATTAAGTAAAATAGATTAAAGTATTTCAGTACTAGCTCTCCTTGACTTTCTTAGGAAAACCAGACAGAAATATCTTGCAGGTCACAGTCCAAGCCCCTAGTTCAATCATGAACTTCCCAATGTTTCCATTAAGTGATTATTCATCTTCTGCTTTCACAAATTTAGGCACAAGATCTCACAAATTTTAAAAATCAGTCAATTCCATTTGTAGACATCCTTTTATTGAGCTTAAAATATGTCATTTAATAGACAGTCCTCTCTAGTTCACGAATTAGAATTAGGTTTGCTTATGGGAGCTAAGATGCAGATGAAATTTGATTTTAGATACATTATTGTTGTCTTATGAGAGAGCAATGTGCTAGTTAGATGGCATTTTTACTTCTGAGATTGACATCCAACTTTGCTTGGACTTTAGTGATTCAATCCCACTCCTGTCATGCTGCTTTTCATGACAGAATCTAGTTTATAGGTAAAATTTCAAAAGAGAATAACCCAAATTTCAAATGGTTTGATTCAGGAAATATTATAACTGAAAGAAGCATCCTCCGTGTTTTCTTCAACTCTATGCTTCCCCCTACCATGTCTCAGAATCCCCTAAAGACTATCACTCTGGAGAGCAGAGGAGTCTCATTATCCTCCTTGGGTTTTACTGTCTATCTGAAATGTTTTCACTCAAAGGCATTTTACCAGGAAACTTAGATGGGATTAGATATTGATGACTTTTAGCTTGTGTAATTGTAGCAAATATATGAGTGCCCTTGATTCTTTTATGGTTCTTCAGATGCATGTCTTTGCCCTGTTTCTAAACCAGCCACTTCCAGTGATTAGATCATCAGCAAACTAGAGCAGACCAATGTGAAGTTATCAAACATCTTGTAAATACCTGGATAAGAGCTCTTTGGTTTAATTATTTTCCAAATAACTTACGTGTATGTCTTTGACTTTCCACTACTTTTAGCATCCACAACCACTTAATGTTTTTACATGAAAGATACAAAAACGAATTCAAGGCACATACTAGACCCTCAGTGATTTTTTTTTTTTTTGCCTCACATGTAATAAAGATTCAATAAAAAATAACTTTTTTTTAGTATCCTTCTTTCAGATGCTATGCTGCTGCTTGGGTAAAGAGATAAAATGCACAGTCCTTAATCTCAGTGTTCAAAACCCCGCACTGAAGGCAGTAGTTTAGGAAACAGGGCCGTGTGGTTGACAGTGTTCTGAGGCGCAGGGTGGTGTGTGAACCAGCCTTAGAGAGTGATGGAAGGAAGGAAAGGCGCCTGGAGGAAGTGGCTGAGTTCTGAGCTGCAGCGCAGAGTGTGGCTCCTCAGGCCAGTGCCCTCTGAGCTCTATAACTAGCCACACTGGTCTCCTTTACGTTCTTTAAATCCCACAGAAATGACATGTTCCTGCCCACATCAAGGCCTCTCTAATTGTTGATCCATCTGCCTAGAACGCTTTCTCTACCAGCTCTCAGTTAATTCCAATTTATCTTTTAGATCCCAGATTACTTGATTCCATTTCCAGGAAGCACTTTATAACTTTGTTCACTATGCTTGAACAATGTGTTTTGGGTTTATAGTGCCTAGTCTTTCTACATTATGGCATAATAATAGTTCATTATAAATAATTGAATGATTATTCAATTCATATTTGACACTTCCTTTAGGCAATAATTAAGATTGACTAGTATAAAAACTTCTAGAATCACCATGAAATACAAAGCACGTAGAAGTGCAACAGACTCTTAGAAAACTCTCAATAACTTCTAGAAATTAAGTTAATGCAAAAAATTAAGTTAATGCAAAAATAAAAGATTGAGTAAAAAAAAATTTGACAAAATAGGAGTCTAGAAGTTTTCCACAAATGGGGAGTGCTGAATATAAACTCAAGACATAAAATGAAGCATAGTGTATTTATGGAATGACAAATTTTGGTATGGCTGGGACCTAGTATAAAGACTTATTGGATCCCTCCACATTACTCAAAACAATTTTGATTTTCAAGTATTATAGTGTAAGATTGGGAGAAAATATATACATATACCTTGTAAGTGAAACCACTTTTTATTTTTAAATATTTTCAAGTATAATAGTGTAAGACTGAGAGAATAACATATACATATGCATGTAACTTTTCAGTGGAATCACTTTTTGTTTTTAAATTTTTTCAGGGCCTCTTTCACATCTTTGTTCCGTAGGCTATAAATCAGAGGGTTTAACATGGGACTCACAAGGGTGTAAAACAATGAGGTCATTTTGTCTTGATCTAGGGAGTAGGAAGAACTGGACCGGAAATACATGAAGAGCAGAGCTCCCTGGAAAATTGCAACAACTGTTAAGTGGGACGTACAGGTGGAGAAAGCTTTGACCCTGCCCTCAGCAGAGTGGATCTCTATCACGGCCAGGATGATGTAACGATAAGACACAAGAAGTCCTGAAAGAGTAACCAGTTCAATGAAGCCAAAAATGGTAAATATCACTAATTCATTGACCTGGTGTCTGAACAAGATAGCAAAAGGAGAGGAGGGATATCACAGAAGAAGTGGTTAATCTCATTTGATCCACAGAAACATAAATGGAGTGTTAATATTGTATTTATCAAAGCATCCATAATTCCCACCATGTAAACTCCAACCATGAGCAGGGAGCACGCTCTGCTGGACATGTTGACTGCATAGACTAAGGGGTTGCTAATGGCCTTGTGTCTATCAAAGGCCATCACCACCAGCAGTAGACACTCAGAATCTACAAAAGTACAAAGGATCAACCATTGCAGAGCACAGCCATAGAAGGAAATTGACTTGTTCTTGGCAATGAGGCCTACCAGCATCTTCGGTCCAACTGCTGAGGAATAGCAGAGGTCACTGAAGGAGAGATGGCTGAGGAAGAAGTACATCGGTGTGTGCAGCTGGGAATCCATTCTAATTAAAATGATCATCCCAAGGTTTGCAACAAGAATAATGAGATAAACAATTAGAAATGTGGTAAATAGGGTCACTTTGATTCCAGGGTTATTGCTAATTCCCAGGAGAAGGAATTCATTCAAAGAAGAGCAATTTTCCCCATCCATTCTACTTTATTCTTCTAAAATGCTACAGAAATGAACAAGAAAATGGTAGATAAATGTTTTAACTTTTCTTGAAACTCACAAAAATATAATCTATAAGTCATATAGAGTTTATGTCAGTATATCATATTCTTTATCATCAAAAAATAATCCAGATGTCTTATTTTTATATTGTTTACAAAAGTTATAGTGTCTGCGATAGGATTTTGAGAGTTTGATTCTCAGTTTGGATGTAATCCATGAGGTATGCGGCTTGTGTGTACCTTCATTGCTCTATCTCAGCAGTCAGTCACGAACTGAAAGCTCATTACAGGTCAAAACACCCAAATTAAAGCCAAAGGTGGAATATGCAGCCTTATGTTTGAAAAATAAATAACCAATGGAGCGTTCAAGTGATTATACTGAGTTCTTCAAGAATCATGGTTTATTTGAGTGTGTATTAAATTCAGACAAAACAAACATCTCTCATTTAAAAATAATGAACAATATGATGTTACTCCTTATTCTATGTTGTTTTATTATTTATTGAGACACTAGATATATTCTAATAAACTTTTCTTTAGAAATATATTACTGCTTTGCCTCATTATTATTACTTACACACAGGAGTGTTCTGATGCCAAAGAACATGTCTCTTGACCAGCAAGAAAGAAATGTTAAAAACAAGTGGAAACAACAGAATTTAACATGTTTCATTTCTTTAGATTTTAAACCTTTTTCATGAAAAATAGAGATGGGAACACAAATAATAAACATATCTTTGGTATATAGGCTTCTGTTTGTGTGTGTGTGTGTGTATGTGTGTGCACGTCTTTCTCTATACATGTATGAGAATCATAATATAAGTGATGATCTGATTTTGTTTTGACTTGAGTAAATGTGATATGTGGGTCATATGGGGTTGAATTTATACAAATTAGTATTTTCATTGTGATATCTCAATTATTACTGATAAAAATAGAAAAAAATTTAAAATTTTCATCTATTTTTTCACAATGATTAAAAAACCCAAGATTTTTCTTCTTAATAACAACAATAAACAAACACATAGAGACAGTGATTCTTTCTTCTTAAGATATAAATAGGTAAAACCGTTCATTTGCTAAACAAAATGAATCTGATTCACCCTGATTTAATAAGAAATATAATATTTTGTCACTAGATTGTTGACTGTTAACCAAAGGAAATAAATTTAAAAAATATTCATTTACAGTTTTTTAAATATTTGATTCCTCATTTTTCCAAACGTAGGGGTGTTTTTTCTTCATTCCTTAAATTTGGTGACTCAGAAACCTACCTGTATGAGCAAGTCTTTCTGTGCTTGTCTCTGGTAGCTGAACAATTTAGACAGATCACATTTTATTTTTACTTAGTGACATTCGGGACTTAAATCTCTGTAGCTTCTGCCCTCACACTTCAGTATTATGCAAACATGTGATTAATTAGATTTCTAGTTCTGAATTTTCCTCTGAGAATATTGAAATAATTTCAACAAAGTTTGAACTTTTAACTCTTCACCGTTGCACCAAATTGATCAATGTCAGGCAGGGAGAATGATTGTTACAGTTTGATTCACTTCTACCCTGAGTCTACGCCGGCTTCCTCCAGTCAAATCAGACATCCAATGAAACTCATATAGACCATCTACTTAATTATTTTATCTGTTATTTATTATTTATCCTGTTAAATTGATTAAATTAATAAATTTATTTAGTAAAATGATTATTTTGTTATTATTTATCCTTAATTATTTTTATCCTGTTCCTTTCCTTTCTGAAACAATCTCCTTCACCTTCCCAGTTAGAAATAAAGCAATCCTCAATAGTTATATTAAATACTTTTTTCATTAAGCATGTGTGATTTCATTCCTCCAACCACATGTCATCCAACTAGATTTCAATTATTTTGTGAGTATAATGTCAACTGTACTTAGCACACTTTTTTTTTAAATTTTTTGTTTATTGCAGTAACATTGGTTTATAACATTGTATAAATTTCAGGTGTACATCCTTATACTTCTATTTCTGCACAGATTACATTATGTTCACCACCAAAATACTAATTACAACCCACCACCACACACGTGCCAAATTACCCCTTTCGCCCTCTCCCCTCCCCCCTTCCCCTCTGGTAACCACCAATCGAATCACTGTCTCTATGTGTTTGTTTATTGTTGTTATTATCTACTACTTAATGAAGGAAATCATACGGTATTTGACCTTCTCCCTCCGACTTATTTCACTTTGCATAATACCCTCAATGTCCATCCACGTTGTCACAAATGGCTGGATTTCATCATTTCTTATGGCTGAGTAGTATTCCATTGTG